TTTTTTGGAATATCAAATTATTTCCTTCTGTCCTCCCCCTTCAATTCTATACCTTGCTTGACTGGTCCCATGAGTCTGTTTAGCTTGCCCACTGGGTCAACGAGCGAGCAAGCCAAGAGCAGCTGTGGCAATCGCCTTTCCTGGAGACCTTCATGAAATGTGCTCAGTGTTAGAACCGGAGTTTGGGGGCCTTTCAGGCTGGATGCACTGCAGAGCAGATGTGCGAAGTGGCCACATCTGCACACCCAGGGTTCCTTTAAGGACTCTGTGCTGGCTAATCCAGACCTGTCCACCTCCTGTTCCACAGCTCACTGGCTGCGGGCTCCAACCTGGGAGGCCCTGCTGCACTCAGAAGGCTGGGCATCCTGCTCCTGCGGCACCAAAGGCAGCTGGGAAACCCTGGGGGAGCCTTTCCCCCCTGAGTTCCAGTCTCAGCTACCACAAGAGGACTCAGAATACCCCTCATCTGCTCACAGAGCTGGGGCAAATCAGGGCAGTGAGGGGCTATGCCTGTCTTACCCACAGTCGTAACCCCAGCCTAGCCCAGTCCCTGGCACATGGTTGGTGGACCAGAAAAACTGACAGGACGGGGACTTGGACAGGGGAGGGGGCTCCCAGACATTATCCCTGCCTTACGATTACCAAGCTGCCGATTACCAAGCTGCGTTCCCAGTATGGGTTAAGTAACTTGCCCAAGGCCACACACTAGCAAGCAATGAAGACTGCCAGACCCACAAGCCAGAGGCCTCCATTGCTCCGCACCTTCCTAACCAACAAACATACACGCGCAGAATCAAGGAGGACCACGAGGCGAAGGTCTCCTGGTGTGCGCCAGGCACAGGGCCCACACTTTTCATATAAGCCCCCCCACGACAATACAGGGTGGGTATCTAACCCTCGTTCACAAGGGAAGAAACGGGCACATAGAAGTTACTTGTCAAAGGCCACCCAGCTGGCAAGTGGCAGTTAGGACTCCAACTCGAGCACATCTGGACCCAAAGTCCGCCTTGATGGCCCTCACGCTGGGCTGCTTCGAGAAACATCCTTCATGGAACCCAAACTCATCCCTTGCTTCTGAGACAACTCTTTGCGGGACTTGTCACAGATGAGGAGTGCTGTTCTTTTGTGTAAAAGAACTGAGACAGGCCAAATATTTACCATCCTGCGCAGAGCGCCGCAAACTGGCCTGGCAGCAGAATCAGCTCCGGGCAGGAATGAGGGCAAGCTGTCGCTATACAAAGTAGGGGACAGAATCGTGATGGTCGCTGACGGTTTGGACAGTTCAGCTTTGGGCAAAGAGGTGCTGGAGACCTGGGGAAGCAGCTCAGAGGCCCCCCAGGAACGGCTACCAGCAAAACCCCGGAGGGATTTCTAAGTATCAGAATTTCCAGAGTTGCTAGGACTTGGGGGTGGCCATGAGAGGGTCGGCTTCTCCCAACACCTCCTTTGTCAAATTCAATCCTGCTGGACAAAAATTGATCTCTTTCATAGGCTGGGATTTTATTTTTCTTAAAAAAAAAAAAAAAAAAAAGCTACAAGCGCAAAGTTAATTATTCACCACGTTGCAATTTACTTAAGAGTTGAGGGAATGCAAGTTTCCTCCCAGTAGGCAGGACGAGGAGTCCAGCTGGATTTTAGGAGTCTTCCGTGGGTCTCCCTGGGGGTCTGGCTAAAATCCTTCCCTCCCACCAGCTTTCCACCTTGCATTTAGCTGCTTCCTGAGGACGGCTCCAGGGCAAACAAGTCTGACGTTTAAGCCACTTCCCCCACAGAGCCGAAGGCGAGAGGTACCCAGCTTAGAGGGATGGATAGGGGGAGGGGGAGGGGGAGGAAGGCGGCATCTGCCTCAGGAAACTAGGAGAACTCAAAAGGGACGGCAAAATCAAAAAGCTCTCGACTAAAACACAATTCCTAAATACAAAGGTTCCTAAATCAAAGCACAAATTGGCTGCTGGAAGCCAGGCCAGCCCACTGTGCACCTGATTCAATCACATTTTGCAGAGGAAAAAATCCCAAGGAAAAACCTAATCACTCACTTCCCCCAAAGAAACGAAGCCCAAGCCATTTCCTAAAAATCCTTAAAACTCTGGTGAGCCCAGACAACGGTGCACAGCCTGACGGAAAACTGCCGGCCACCTGGACCAGGTCAGAGGAGCTGCCATGCTCCCTTTGCCTTATTCCCAGTGACTTATGTCCCTCATCCCCGTGCCTGTCCCCTCCAGGGTGGGTGCAAAGCAGCCAACTCTGCCTGCTTTTCCGTATCTCATTGCTCCAGTCCAGTTCTGCGGGTGTTTTATGACCACGCAATATTCTGGAGCTTTCCACCTCATTTACTTTAAGATACTGATCCCCAGGGCCGGGAGAGGCGTGGGTTCAAAGCGGAACTTTGTTTTCCCAACCTGATTCAGTTTCCCAACCTGATGCAACTCCGATTCACTCCGAAGAGAGCCTTTTTTCTTAATTAGGGCAAGGCCTCCAGTTGAAGCTCCCACCAGTCTACTCCTAGATGATTTTGCCATAAAACTGAGAATTTGTCAAGATGCTTGTACCTTTAGATATACAGCCAAAGAAACCCTTTCCTCCCATAATTCTGGCATCTGCTGCACGTTCCACTGACTACAGCCTACTGACAAAGCTCACACTGAAAAAATGCAGGCTAACTACAGCCCAGGGCTGTGCCCACCCTTTGGCTCACAGGCCCAACCTGGCCTCAGTGACCCCACAGCCCACGGGGCTCCCCTCCACACACTGAGCCCCCCTCCGCTCAGGACCACACATGGCCACCAAAACAGGGACAGAGGCATCCTAGGATTCCTACAAGGTCTACTCTACAGTAGCCCACAGAAGTCTGGGAAGCCTGTGGAAAAACCTTCCAGAACCGGTCTTCACAATACTTCGGGAGAGGTGGGCCAACCTAGATCCGCTGGTTTCTCCCTCTCCCTCGTCCCTGCTTCTAAAAACCTCTCTTTTCCAAAGCCAGGAAGAAGGGGGCCCCAGGTGCCCTATTTTCTCAACTTGCCTTTCACACACTTCAGGTCACCCCACTGTGTGTTGCCAAATGTTTTTCCAAGGACCCCACTGCCAGGATAGCCAAAACACAATACAAACAAACAAAAATAAACGAAAAGTTCCAACAGCAGGCAAACCCGAGGTTTCAGGGGTTGGTGGGGTTTTTCTTCAGGGGAGATAGAAGCAAAGTTATTGGACATAAGGATTAAGAAGATCGGAATCTTGGCATAAACCTTGACCAGGACTCTGAGTGGTCAGCATTATGTCGCTGGAACAAAAGACTAGCCATTAGGGGCACATCCACAAAGATACATCTTTAAAGACATGGGAGGAGAGAGAGACGGGGCTTCTCACTCCCCACCGGGTAGACCTCCACATCCCGTCTCATCTCCCCAGGGGCAACTCTAGAAGGCGGCCGGGTCCTCCCCACCCCCAAGCTCAAGGTTGCCGCCCCGGAAAGCACTGCAGGGCAGGCCCCCGTAGGAATGGGCTCGGCCCGTTGGGGAGAGGGAGGCCGGCTCCCCACTCACTCCAGGTCTGCCCCTGTGGGGATCCGGCTACGCCGGGAGTACACGGACCGCATGCAGGGACCGACTCAAATTTCCGAGCGCGTTCCTATTGCTCCCGCGAAGCACGGGGGTCCCCTGAATGGCCGCACCGAGCCCGCGACAAGCGCGCGTTGCCACCCCCTCTCCAGTGTGGCCCCGGGAGGTGGCGGCCCGGCCGGGGTCCAGGCGCCCGCGTGGGCGCTGAGTGCGCGCGGCCCGGGAGGAAGCTGGCCTGGACCGAGGAGCGCCGAGGAGCCGCCGGTCCCGGGGGCCGAGGACTGGGACTTTGTAGGCCAGTTGAACTCACACCCTCATCTCGCCCGCAAAGACCCAGCCCTCAGCTCCCGCGCGTCTCGGAGTGTGGGGTGCGGCGCGCCCCTGACGGGCTCCCCAGGCCGGGTCCCACCGCCCGCTTCCCACCGCCCGCTTCCCACCGCGCTCTGCTCGCCGAGGCTCCGAGAGTCCCCCAAGCGGCGTCCCTCTAAGAAGGCACCCGCCCCGCCCGACCTCGGCCCGCGGGCTCCGAGGCCAGCCCTCGAAGGGTTACACGACGCTCGGCGCGCGCGCCGGCTTCCAGGCCACCCCCAGGCCGCCCCAGCGCAGGCCGAGGGACAGCACCGGGCGTGGGGGAGGTGCGGGAACCCAG